AGCTTGAATCTTCATTTGTACTCTGATAATGGTAGCTTCAATGGAGCTTTTGTGCTATGTCCTAAAAGAGCGAGCTCTAATTGCAAGAAATTTTTTGTATCCTGATCTTCTTCATATTCTCCTGGTAATGTTTACGAATTAATCTCACGAAGATTTTTTCTTCCATTTTTTGTTTAGTTTAAGTAATTGAGTTTTGTTAAATGAATCTGATAATAGGGTGTTTTTTTGTTTCTTCTTTCTGGCTTTGGTTGATTTTGTTTGTTGTTTATGTGGTTACTGTAATTTTTTAATTATCAAATTAAGGTTCCTTTGATTTCTTTGACTCGTTAAGGAACCTAGTGAGGAAAAGACCGAGGTGAGTCTCTTTGTTGGTGCTTGGTGAATTGTGTTGTATGGTTTGGCAATGATGATAAATGTGGACGGGATTTAATTTGGTAGTGAATGCTTTAGTGGGGCGCTTAATTCTGTGAATTGTGGTCACTTGCAATTATTATGTCATGTCACGAAAGATTGTTGACATGAGACTAGCAATCCTATGTTGAACAATTGAAAATCCAACCAACAAGCTCTTAGCAGAGTTTGTACCCACTAATTACAAAGCTTCGGTAATTAGTTGTGTCAACTATTCCTTCCCGAACCTTCGGTATTTAATATTTTCTTCTTGCAACATACACTAGTTCCCAAGTTTCTTAAGGAAGGCAGAGAGTTTAAGAGTATTGGATATTTCCAAGAACAAGATTTCTGGTTAAATTCACAAATGAGAAATAGAATGGATGTCATTGTCCAGATTAAACTTTTCTTATAACTTCTTGACTGGTATAGATTTGTTTGCTTTTGAAAATCTTATCAGGGTTGACCTCAGTTCCAACTTACTACAAGGATCACTTCCCATTCTATCAACAGCTTGCGATGTTATGCAACTCTTCATTTCAGGGAATAATTTGACTGACGAAATTCCTTCTTCTTATTGCAATTTTACTTCTCTTAGAGTTCTAGCTGAATTGGAATATATTGGACACATTCCTAAAGAACTGGAAGAACTCAAGTCACTTCATGTTCTAAACTTGTCTCACAACAATCTCACTGGTCAAATTCCATCATCTTTGGGGAATATGACAGAGCTTGAATCACTAGATCCCTCATCAAACAAGCTTGAAGGCTGGATTCCTGAGCAGTTGACAAGTTTGACATTCCTTTCAGTTTTGAACCTCTCACACGACAAACTTGAAGGTGACATTCCTCAAGGGAAGCAGTTCAATACTTTCTCAAATAATTCCTACATTGGGAACTCTCGGTTGTTGGGAACTATGGGTTGTGTGGATTTCCATTGACAAAGGTGACATTCCTCAAGGGAAGCAGTTCAATGCTTTCTCAAATAATTCCTATACACTACGGCATTTTTGCCATTTAGCTCTGAACGAAAATTGTATGTATATAGTAAAAATCTGTAGGTATATCCCATTCGAGGCCTATATTTATGGAGAAAAAAGTGTAACTATATGTCCTATAGTTATAGATAATTAACTATGTAAATGTACATATTTTTACAGTATTATAAGTCGTAGGTAAAAGATTAATAATCATATACCTATATTTAAAAAATAATAAGTAAAATAAAATACTGACGATATACACCCGTAGTTAAATAACAATAGCAACGACATAATAATTGTTGCCATATTAGCTTTTAATAACTATATTTATCATTATTAAAATTATTTTATAACAAAAATAAGTTATTATGTAAAGTAAGTTCAATACCCAAAAAATGTTGTTACAAAAAAAGAAATTATACAACTAAATTAGTCATTATTAAAAGTGTATTTTCACAACCATTACAATTATTACCAAAAATTGTTATAGCAACCATTTAAAATGTAGGTAAAAAAGGTTTTTCCTAACTTTGTAAATTAATTTAAAAAATGATATTTAGCAACAATTATATGTGGCTGCCACATAATAATTTAAACAATGTCATCTATTATTTTGTAAAATATGATTTAGTAACAATATTAATAGTTATACTATAAATATATATATAAATACTAATAATTGTTGCAAAAAATATATTTTCTCTACCCTATTGAACTGTTAGTAAAATATTTATTATGCAATTATTATAATTGTTATAAAAATATGGTTATAGCAACCATTTAAAATGTAGGTAAAAAGGGTTTTTCTTAACTTGCTAAATTAGCTTAGAAAATGATATTTAGCAACAATTATATGTTGCTGCCATATAATAATTTAAATAACGTCATCTACTGTTTTGTAAAATATGATTTAGTGATAATATTAATAGTTACACTATAAATATATAGAAATACTAATGATTGTTGCAAAAAATATATTTTCTCTACCCTCTTAAACTGTTGGTAAAAGATTTATTATGCAATTATTATAATTGTTATAAAAATATAGTTATAGCAAGCATTTAAAATGTAGGAAAAAAGGATTTTTCTTAACTTCATAAATTAGCTTAGAAAATAAGATTTAGCAACAAAAATATGTGGTTATTATATAATAATTTAAACAACGTCATCCACTGTTTTGTAAAATATTATTTAGTAATAATATCAATAGTTACACTATAAATATATAAAAATATTAATGATTGTTTTAAAAAATATATTTTCTAACTACAAAATTAGTTTCAAAAAAAATATATTGTAACTAAAGTTTTTACTATCTTAAATTCTATTTTGAAGCAAATATGATCACTTTAAAAAATAAATTTAAAATCAATAATTATTGTGAAAGGGTAAATTTCTCAACAAACATTTTATCATATAATATCTTAGTTGTGAAATGTCGTTAAATATAATATTTTAGTATCAATCAACATATATAATTAAACTATTTTTAAAATTTAATATTAATTAAATAACTTCTAAAGCATAATTAATTGAATTTACATTAATAACAAAAAGATTATAAAACTAAATACATATTCCAAATTTGTAAAATTATCAACCGAACTATTGTTATTCTCTTTCTCATACTGTAATCGGACATTATTTAATAATTCTTCTCCATATTTTTCTTTTTCTGCCAAAATTTCACTCTTTTCTTTCTCGCGAGATTGCAATTTTTGTTCTAATTCTTTGATCCTCCTCTACTGATTCACCTGCTCAGATAAAAGTGGACATTTCCTATCATTACCAACTCCATGGTTAGAGTTCTGATACAA